TTTTTTTTTTTTACATTTTCTTGAGATTTGAGGAGTTTTAAACTGGAGGGGGTTTGATAAAAATGGGGAGAAATACTGTGACTGGCTTATAATGATCTATCCAATTATTTTAAAAAAAAGTATATATTCTAAGTTTCTTAAATCCCCCAAAAGAAAGGAGTGTGTTATAACAATAGATATGTCAGAAAAAAACTATTGCACATAAATCTACATTTTTCACTCTAAGTGGCAAGGGAAAAAGGAAATTCCTTCAGTGTTAAGTAAGAACTATTTGTGACCTTTAAAATAGGTCATTTTTCATTTTAAGTATTAGAAAAAAATCATTTATATCACAAGCTTTAGAAACATTTAAGACATGCTAGCTGAACAAGAAAAAAGTGCTGCTCAGTAAGGCATTGAGTGAATTAGCCTAGATCTTGGAGCCATGTAATTCACACCTTTCTAAACATGGTCGGAGGTTGATTCTCAAGGTGGGGATGTGCAGGTATGTCAGGTGTGTGGCTCTTATTTAACTTCAATATATCAACTAAAATTGGAGCCATTTTTTTCTGCTCTTCTCAAATAGACGAGGTCAGCTTTCAGCTGTTAGGAGCATGGGGGTCGGGGGGGAGGAATGTTAAATAAAGGCAAACTTTGGTCTTACTCTGGGACAATTGTTACATAATGATAAAATTACCGTTTGCCAACTCTTGCGGTATTCATAGACCACATCAATGTTTAATTGGCAATGTTTTTTTAAAAATAAAATATAATGATTTTCTTCTACTAAGATCAAGATATCATTATTACTCATTCGTGAAAATATGGCACCATTCCATGACAGTTTTCAACAATGAAGAGTATTTTGTTAAAGAAGAGGTGTCAATATACATTTGTGTTACTTAATCTGTCTGTTGAATTTCTCTTTGTAATAGCAACGGATTTTGTAAGCCTCACAGTCATGTGTAGCTCAGAACTCTGCCTAATTGAGTTTGCCTCACTACTGTTTTGGGTGTATCAGACCAAATTGCCATGTTCCCATAAACTAATCACTTTCTGTTGTTGGCCATAGAACAGGGCCACTGGAACATGTGTGCAGAAAAAAAGCACACCCTTTTAATTTATTTTGTGTGGGAATTTTTGTGGTGGATTCTAGCGTCAAGATCAGCATTGTGTGTTATATGGGATCAGACTTGGGCTCACCGTTAAATCTAATTGATGGAATTTTTTTTTCTTACTACATGAGACTAGGGATATTTTGACCTGAGATAGGAGAACAGAAATATTACTAGCCAGTTCAAGTAAATGAACTAGGGTTGTGGGGAAAGAAAGTGCTTAGTATATAGCTGACTTTGTGGATGTAACCCAGGTGACTAAATATTTAGAAGCACTGGGGTTAACAAAGAAAGGTCGTGCAAACATAGTCGTCTGCATCAGAAGTAAAATGATATAACATGACTGTGCAATTCGGTGTTTCAGAAGAAATCGTTCTTAAGGCTCTTTGGTCTCCTATTTATTTCCCCCCTTTTATTTGATTATTTTTATTATTTATTTATTTTATTTATATATATATATATTTTATTTATTTATTTTTTTGAAAAATGTACTTGTCTGGGATTCATATCTTTCAAAGACCACAAAAATGTCTTCCAGCGCCTCGGCTAGTGCATTGTTCACTAAGGTCTGAACTCCTGTCTGGAGAGCATACACATGGGCCATCCCTTTCTGTCAGAAAAAAAATATAATGTTGTCTGTTCTCTTTCCTCATTGGGGCAGATATTGGTTCATTTTTCCAACAGCTCCTGTGAAACGGTAGTCAGACCCTGCAGGGTGGCGACATTCTGAGGTTAACCTCAGCAGTGCACCATTACGCAGAAGGAAAATAACACAAATAAATTTCCTGAAAAGACTGCTGAGTGCTGAGCCTGAGTTCAAAAAAGCAGACGACATTCGATATTGATATGGAAACCCAATTTATTGCATCACGTAACTCCAGAATTAGCCTGCAGTCTTTGGGGGATAAATAATATATTTGGCATTCCCAGTTTGTCTGAGTGAACTGGAAGACTTCCAATTCGGGGTTTATAGCATATAAGTAAAATGATAAAATGCTTCACTGCTAAGACTGCAGTATGCTGAACTAGAGTTTTCTCTTTTTTTTTTCTCTCAAGCAGACGATATTTGATTTTTGATGCGTGTTCCCAAGAATAAGCTTATTAAGTCAGCCACTGTCTGTGATGATTGAAAAAAATTTGATTATCCATCTTTTCTTTCTGTTCATGAGTCAAAATTGTTTTTCTTTTGTACAAGAATGTACAAGAAATGTTGAAAAAGTGGCTTGTTCATGCATTTTGCAAGCAGGTAGTTAATAAATAACCACAAGCACGTAATGGCCATTAAAATTATGTGAAATTGGGCAACTTACAGCTAGACCGGGAAGTAAGAAAATTTGAGGAAATGGAATGCTGATTTTATGGCAAAACTTGAATATGCTTGTCTACCCTAAACTCGTTTTGCAAGATAAGTCATTGGGTTTAAGTGTCAAGTGTACTTCTAAAAGAAAGCGAGGGAAAGGTTTTACAAGGAAAATTGTTTTGAAAAAACTAGGTCACAAAAAGGTATGAAAAGCACACCTTGGTGGGAAGGGTTATTGCGTACAGTATATATATATATATATATATATATATATATATATATATATATATATACATATATATATATATATATATATATATATATATATTTATTTAAACCCGTCTTTCTAGTATTGTGCAATAATCACAGTTTTAATACCATCTTGCCTGTGATTTATTTCAGAAAAAGAAGTTTGAGATTCGTGCTGTGGGTGTGCCAGACCAGAGAAAGTTCACCTACTACACTGGCAGCGATGAGCGCTCCAAGTACCTGTTACAGCTGTGTCGCAGCACACATATGTTCCAAATGGCAATACAGCCCAAACTGGCCGAAATACAACACCTGGAGGCTGAAGGTGGGATTTAAACACCAAACTTACTTCGCTTTTTATTTCTTAATTAAATGCAGGCCAAGGGAACTAGTTTATTGAACCTAAAACAGTTTGAACTTAAAACACTTGAATTATATTGTGTAATTTATTTTTTCCTTTAATTTATGGCCAAATGCTGAACTTATTTATATTTGATCTAGAAAAAAATACCAAATCTTCCATCATCACGTGTTTGTATGTATTTGTATAAAAATTTTCCCTGTAATTATGGGCACTAAAATGTATTCCTCAATATTTTCAGATAAACGCAGAAGTTACCGCGAGTCCTACATCTATAGCGATACTTCAGACTTGGCATGGGAACAAGAGCAGGCCTCTATCAGCAGTAACATGTCCCTCCAGAACATCACCACACTGCCAAAGAAGGGCGACCCCAGAATCTCGGTGATCAGCAACACCAGCTCCAACACGACCTCTGGCATTGTCAGCGACAAGATGCACATCAGCTTTGATGACAGTGAAGGTATGTATTCAGATTGTTAAGATTCTAATTCATCCTGTTGATATAATATATACACATGGGGAGAACGCAGTGCCATCTTCAAAGCATTGTATGTTCAGAAATGGAATGAAGAAAGTCCATGGGTATATGGCCAGAGTTGTTCATTGTCTCATCACTGTATGTACTGGAAGCCACTGCATCCTTAACTCCACTGCACCCAAAACTTTGTTACCTCTAATTCTCAGAAACCACAAAGACTTATGACTATGGAATTTTGCCTCTTCTTTAGTATGCTAGAGACTATAAAATGTGCTTTTCCAACAAACCTTTTATGGGCAGTAAGGTCTGTGATTGAAAATAAAGACAAGTACAGGGAGGTATTCAGTTTATGTTGGACTTTGACAAAGTTTCCCACTGATTAATTGTAAACCAAATTTCCGTCTAAGGCAAGCCTCACTGAAAATATCACAGTAGTTCACCTGTGCCAGCATGCAAATAAAGTTAGGATCTGGGACATTTAAACAAACTAAGTAACTGATATTAAAAATAATGCTGATGATTGTTAACTTTTTAAAGACTGCAATATGTTAAATATTTTTCAGTTGAGGACCGTGAGGGTGAAAATGCCCCAGACTCCTCCAAGAGGGACTCCTACTTGAAGTCGCACTCCAGTATTGACAGCTTGGCATGTTCCTCCTCCATAGCATCCAAGGAATCCGGAAGAAGTAAGAATTGGCACAGTTACTGCTTGGCTCAGTCTAGGATAAATATTTGGCCAAATAATAATTTTAAGCCAAATTCAACAATCGAGTCGGATTAATAATGAATTTGGCACAGACCGAAATATTTTGAATTTTCCTCAGCCAGTTAATATGTTTGGTATTTGGCTAAATATGCATGCTAGAGTAAATCTAATGTTGATATCAACCAAAGAATAGAGGAATTTTAAATGATGACAATATAATTTTTGCAGCTCTGTATAAATAACTTTTTACAGGTTCATTTAATCAAAATAAATCAAAGATAATATTTGCTTGAATTTATATTGCTTTAATCAAGAAATGATATGAAGATGTTTATAACAAATATATCATTGTGATTATGATTATCATGGAGAAAATATGGGGAAAGTGCACTATTTTCACAGGCGTAGATGACAATAAGTATTACCTATCTTTCTCAGGGCTCAGACTGCTCCAGTTAATGTCAGGTGACAGTGGACGAGGTTACTCGGTGCCGGTCAGTCCAGAACATGGGGCACCTGTACCTTTGGTCAGTCAGGCTGGGCAGCCCAATAGGACAGGTGCTGCCACAACCAACTGCGGTGTTCATCCCAGCAGTATAGCAGAAATACCAGTGGTCACTAGCCAACAGGTGCCCATTAGTTCTCATCCTGGTGGCTCAGGAAGTTCTGCAACTACGTCCATTAGTACCCGCACCCCCACCCCTACTGTTGCCAATGCCTCTGTGCAAGGAAACACTGCTGTTGATGTACATAGGGAGTCCCCTCCTCCTCTTCCTCCTCCTCTTCCTCCTCCTCCTTCCTCTTCTGCTTTATTGCAAAGTGCCAAAAGAGATCAGTCAGGGCAAGGATCTGGACGTTGGGAAGGGGAGCAGGGTAATAGCAGAGCTGGTGTTGGTAAAGGAATCCTACAAACTGAAACCTTGCCATCGTCACAGGGCGGGGCCAGCTCCAGAAACAGTAGTGGAAGAAGTCAGAAGAGTGTCACATTTGCCAGTGCCCCTGTGCTGGAACAGAGGACTGTGACGACACTTACTGCCTCGTCACCATCTTCACATGGGTATGATGGACAGGAACATTTGTATGAAAATCTTCCCTGCCACGAAGCTGATAAAACTCAAATAGTCCAACATGTAGATCCTGGTCAGTTGAATTACCACCAGGTTCAAGGCCAGCAAAACCATCAGGGTAATCAGTTTTACGTGAATGGAATAGGTCAGGGTCATCTTATGGGTCAAGGCCATCAAATGGGTCAAGTTCAAGGTCATCCTGTGGGTCAAGTCCAAGGTCATCCAGTGGGCCAAGTCCAAGGTCATCCTGGAATGACCAGTGATGCAATTCAGAAAGCTCAGTATTATTATGCCACCCATCCTGCCAACATGGAGATGTCCAGCTACTACATGCCTGTGGACTATGGACACATGAACAACAATCTCCCCAGCTACAGTGAAGTAATGGAACAGAAAACGGTGACTGTCTCCCCGGATACCCAGTACACTCTGTCGGCCAACCCAGCCCTTTCTGTAAAGCCAGTGAGTATTGCCAGTGGTGTGGCGCACAGCAGGCCTGTTGTCACAAAACACTATGCCACAGTACCAGGGAACAATAACATCAAGCAGTTTGCCACAGGTCCTGAGGAGGCCCCCCACCAGGGCCGGGTGCCCAGGCAGTATGCCACAGTGCCAGCAGGGCCAGTTGGTGGGGTCACTGCCACATATGCCTCCAACACTGCCAATGATCACACTACTGCTGCCAGCCCACGTGGGGTATCAAAGCAATATGCTACTGTGCCTGGAGAACCAATGGGGCATTCATATAATGTCATTGGCAGTGGGAATGGTAATACTATGGGTGCTGCCAATGCTGGTCCTGCTACAGGCGGTTACAGTGGAAATCTATTGCCCAGAGGCCCATTGGGTGCTGCTTTAGGGAGCCATAGGATGGTGACTGCCACTCCTACCCAGTCCAATGGACCTTATGCAGGCATGCCACAGAGCCATGTGGGAGAACAGCAACTTTCAAGCCATCAAGGTCCTGCCAGTATGCTGAACAACCTAGCCCCTGGAGGAGTCACACAGCAGAAATTGCCTACGGTATCAAAGCCAAAAACTCAGCAGCAGGCTGTGCAACAACCAGGGCGGCAACAGCAGAGCCCATCTGATAGGCTGCCACAGGGGAATAGGCAACAGATGATGCCTGGGAATGGACAACAACAACAGCAGCAGCAGCAGCAGCAACAGCATTTGACATCATTGCAGCAGCAGAAAAAACAGCAGCAACAACAGCAGCAGCTTGGTGCAGTAAACAGAGCAAAACAAGCTACTGCTTCAGAAAAGAAACTGGGTGTAAGTACTTTTAAATTTTAGGAAAATTGAAAATTACTAATTATTGGCTTAAGAAAAGCTGATTAATATTTGTGTAAGAACTTTTGGGAAGAGATTGTTTTCTGTCTAATCCTGATCCAATTTCCTACATATTTTGGCGTCTAGTCAGTTTTTACTTGCTGCCCAGGTGTAAATTTTTTTCCACCATTAAGACCAGTTTTACAAATGAACTCCAGTTCGAATGTATTTCTAAATGGTAGTCTTCTTCATTATTAGATAAAATCATAATGGTCCACAGAAAATCCATTTCTGTCTTGTCATAAAGTATGGGTTTAAGATTTCAAGTGGGCTGCTTTTATTTTGGTTCAAAGTAGGCCACCACTGAGGCAGCCTCTGGTGTAAATGAGCAGGCTTGATCTTGTTTGTGATGTATATCGGGTTTTTATCCCCAATTTTACTTTCACCTCCAGTTGGTTACTGTAACGTTTTGTTTGTGTTCTTCCAGATCCCAGAGATAGTCCAGGAAGATGATGACACTGCCGAAGGGGAAGAAGGGGCCCAGCATCCAGACATCGACCAAATCCGTGAGCAGATTGACCACATGTCGCTGCCTCTCCTCAAAGCACTATGCAATGACAAATCCCTGGTGCCAAACAGCAGAAGCGGAAACTGTAGCTGCCATGGTAGCTGTAGCGACATCCTGAACCCCTCGGCCCACCAACACTATCACGGCCCTGACCCTAAGAGGTTGTCTGCCAGTTACGCCATTAATAGTGAGCCTCAGTTTCTGGCCCCGTCTCCTGCCCGCCCTATTAGTTGGCATAGTGAGACTTTCGACCTGGACAAACAACTGCAAGCTTTTCGGAAAATGCAGGAGTGCGGAATGCATGGCCAGTGTTTCCAGATGAAATGTGCAGACTATAAACTGCTGACGGAGCCCTCGTCTGCTGTCATGACGTCGTACAGCACACCGCGCCAAGACACCCCGGTGAGAGGGACACAGCCCCAGCGGCAAATTTTTCCAATGAAACTGAGCAGCGGAGGTCTGAACTCGTCTAGCTCGGAGCAGCTGGCTCACACTTCAGCATATGGTCTTGCCTAAGAAGCAACCACTAGTCCAATAATGTACATAGAACCAAGTAGTTTAAAGATCGGGCAGATGCATGCATAGAAAATGTATATGTACATACATATAGATATATTAGTTTGTTTATGGATATGTATGTTAACTAGATCTTTTCTAGTTTGACTAATGATTATTTAATGCTCAGAATTTAAGCATAATATTAAGAAGTATTTATGTAAATAGTCACAATTTGCATCTGAGCATTTGTCAAGTTAGATTGCTTTCTATTTTATAACCTGCTGATCAAACATTTCTTTGTGGTTGTTTATATAAACAAATGATAATAGTTATAATTATAAAAGATTCGACAGTATTAAACCTGCATATATTACATTTTCTATAATCAACTTTTTAGGATGTTTCTGTAAATGATTACCTTCATTTCACTGGCAGCATTTTTGGTAGTTTCTGTTTGATAGAAAATTTGTTTCTGTTGAGATGCATTGTTTCACCTTGTAATGAGATTAACATAAGCTGCCTTTACAAGCAACTAGATGGTTTGTCCATTGTTTTGAGACATCGCCTTCTATAGCCCAGGTACCATGTAAAGATTGAAGTAATTTATTATCATTATTATGAAAGAAGTTCCTTCAGTATTTTAACTTGAGATAAGTGTCAGAAGGACTGAAGCAGTATATTAGCCAATATATGGATTCCGTGCTGAGTATGAGTGAATGAATAATATAGCAGTGGTTGACGAGATTGTATCAACCTTTGTATGATATGACTGAAGCGTTATGAAAAGTGTGTATTCTTTGCACTTTAAAGACAAAAGCATGTGCATGTAAATAGACAAGTGCTGTTCTCCACTTATTTCAAGAAGAACAGAGATGACACAGATATATACATATACATATAAATATATGTATATAATAGATAATAATGGAAATCAGTATGACAATGAGATTAACATGCTAGCATCACTGTAGATTAGGATTTTATTAATTCACTAGTTTTGCCAGTTATATCTTATGGCCATTTTCTATGCAAGGGTGAGAAGAAACTTCAGAACACTGTTTATTGAATGGGGTATTTATTTACTGCCTAAAATGCACCTCTCCCACCAAAAAGAAATGGCATCTTCATTTTCTTACAATGTTTAGTACCAGTACTATTGTTAGAATGCTTTAATTTTTAGATTTTATTTATATCATTATTTTTAAGAGGATGTGATCTGTAGTAACATAAATAATTAATTTGTCATTTTTTGTCAAAGGTGGGAGAATTAGTTTGAAGAAGCACTATTGGAGTATCAGTTGGAACCCCACCTGTTGAAATGTCACAGATGTTCTCCCTGTCAGTTCAAATGTTTTAATTATATAGAGGGTGTACAGAAATCGGTCTAGACATCAACAAGAAATGCAGTGCACTTACTTGTTACTGAGGAAATTATAGATAGCGTTAGTGTTTTGTTTGTGTGTGTGTGTTTGACAGTCCTGGATTTGGGCAACTCAATTTGCATATAAAAATGGTGCTATAGAAGAGGGTAACTCTTCTAACTGACTAACTGACATTAGTTTTTATTAATGAGCTCAACATTAACTTTGTAAATTTTGATCATATAAATGTATGAAGTGAGGGTGCCCAGAACAAAGTATTGCCAGATTTGGGGGTTTAAGGGTCCTTCTGTAGTTTTTTTCCTTTCTTATTTGCTGGTGCAATATATAATAAGAGGGGGGAGGAGGGGACATGCTAAGAAAGATGGCAGTTTGCCACGTATCTGGGAGTAAAGAAAATTGCTTTCGGCTGAGTAAAGGCATTGCAAGTTGTTGAACATTTGGGCAAGTTTTCTTTTCAGTCAACAACATAAAGAAATACATAAGCCTAAAACTTGCCAGACATGCTGCAATAATAACCTTCTTCAGAGTAAAACTTGCAGTGATGAGCATCTGGAGATTTTGAAACATACTTATTTTTTATATTTTTATATATATCCTTTATATGTTTTGTAGAAAATAACCACTCCCTTTAGTTAAATTTGTTCCATAGTTGTAAGTGTTGAATCCAAAAGTGTTCTCACAAGAATATTATTTTCAACTCGAGTTAGTTCTACCAGCAAATTTTTGGACAGTTACAGTAATCTCACATGAAGTCCTATCATATTAAATGATATTATATGGGTTAGAGGACATTTTTTAAAAATTGTAAATAGGTCAGCAATACAGAATCCTACCATTCTAGTGTTATTTCACCTTTGTAAAATTGGACATTATTTTCCAAAATTTTTCTTCAAAAATCATTGCAATTTTTTCTTTTTTTTTTTTTTTGTATGAATGGATGTTTATACCAGTTAAAACAGTATGATAACTCTTATAATTGTACGTTTCCTTTCAGGACTTTTTCATTAGATGGAAGAATCTCACTTTGTAAAATTGTAGCAAGACCTGATCTGGTTTATATATCCCTTAAATTTAACATAATAAGAAAAGGCATGCAGTCCCAGTATTTATCTGCTTTAGAACTTTTTAGATCGACCTGATGCTTTTCATTAGTTTGACAACTAGCAATATTTGTTGTATTTTTCACATTATTTTTCTTAAAATTTCAATTGAGAACCAAACTGCAGTTATCTAAGTTGTTGAAATGGACTGAATGAATTTTTGAATGTATCTGAACCTTATGTTATTTGTTACTATTATTATTATTATGTATGAAAGAAATGAGGAGTCATTTTCTGTAAACTGTAACATATTACTTATAAAATATAATATAATAAAGTGTAATATGAAGTATATGATAACAGCATTTTGATTGTTCAATTTATTGAATATGTATAAGAAGAAATGTCACTTCTTAGTTGGTTTTTCATCACGAAGCTGACTAAATATGACAGGAAAAGAAAAATCACTTGTCTACAATCATTTTGTGCTGAAAAGGCCATTTACATACAATCAACACTGATGAGACATTTTTCGGACTTTTGTCGGAATTTCGACTTTTTCAGGGTCATTTGGATCATTCTTTTGAATCATGTGCCCTGGCCCCAGCCAATTTTCCTACTATTTCAGTGAGGACTGGTCTCATCCCTGAAATGACTAACTCCAGACAAGCTCACTTGGTACATTTAGATGGTATGATACTATATGCAATATCAGAGAGATCAGTTCAATTTGTGCAACTAAATGATTGTACTCTGAGAAATCGCCTCGGGTGCAAATAAACTTCAACATGAATGGTTAAAGAATGACATGCAACAACATCAGGAGAATCTTGATTTCTTAAAAATGTCAATTTTGAATATGGCCTGTATAAAGTTCTGTTTCGAAAATTATGGCATCGAAGGCAAATATACAAGTCGGCAATTTTCAGCACCAGACAAGCCAATGGAAAAATCAGCTGCTGCGAATATATTCAATGTAGTCTGAGAATGGTTTTGGAATCGTTTGCCTTTCTCTGTATACTGAAGACCTTCTACTGATGAGCATTAACCCATATTTGTGGTGTTCCCTTCTCCTCTTCTGTGGTCTAAAACATATTAAAATGTATTTTGGTAACTTTTAAAACACAGCCATGATAATCACATATAAGAGTATTCCAATTACATATAAGACTATTCCATTACATAAAAAAAAAAAATTAAAATATTAGATTATTTAAGTTAATGTAATGTAATACAGCTATCTTCATCATCTCCTACTACATGGAGCCTGGATGTAGTGAAAAATGTTTGATTTGGCTAAATTAGCTACATTCTTGGCTAAATTAATGCCATCCATATTTAGCACAGTGACGTTCTCATAATAAATATGTAAATACCATCTTTCCAAGCGTCCCAGTTTCTTGCTTTAGCTAATTCTTCAGGGTCATCCATCTCTTCTTTCCTTTCTTTTTCAATAGCTGCTTGTTCGTCTGCAGTTGCAGCAAGCTCTGGATCATTAGCCATGTCCTGCATGCTTGGCCTTACATATAAAATATAAAATAAAATTTTATTCGCATTTAATCACACAAGAAGGAAAAAGTGTTAGATAAACATACCTAAGCTGGGTTTTTAATTTATTCATTTTTAGATGACATGTACATAAATGGCCAACTAAAATGTATACCATAATACTACTGCCCGCTGCAATCACAACCAAAGAAAAAAATCTTTCCAAACATAATTAATGTAAGAGTGAGGTAACAAAACAATGATAAACCCTCACCCTGATTGCTGCTCTGGTTGGAGATTCTTATATGTCTGCTCATAAAACTCATCTAGAGTGTACGTGGGGACCCCTGGATAACCCATACCAAACACTTTTTTCTGCAGATCATTCTTTGTGATGATAAAAGGCCTAAAAGACTATCCAAAAAGGAGGGGGAAATGACAATTTGATTATTCTAAAATGACAGAAGTTATCACCAACTTATATCAAAACAACAAACTTTTGTTTGAACAACAGAATTTCATTTTACACTTAAATAGCAATTATTAAGTAAATATACTTTAATATCTTCTGTATGTCCAGAAAAGCAGCTTTAATTGAAAGAAACAAAATTTGCCTTAGATATCTTGGTTGCCTTATCTTTCTATCAAAGTCACGTCTTTAAGAGTACACCATTACGTTACCTGTTTTTGCTGTGTTTTTTTGGTTTCCTTTGACATTTCTCCCGATTCCTCTCTTCCTCCCATTTTAGATCTCCCTGCTAAGAGGGTAAGTTCCACTGAAAATATAAGCAATAAAATATATTTGATGCCTTCAATTAACAACACATCTTTCAAGTTGTAAGTTATACTCTAATGATTATATTTATTGACAGTACTCAAAAGCACTTCTACCACATTGTACAAGTGTTATAATATGTGAAACTGCACAGCATATTAAGACAGACAGTTAAAAAATTAACAGTTGGGTTTCTTGTTTACATTTCAGATTATATTTATGCTGGAGACAGAACAACTAATTTATTCAAAGTTTATCTAAATTTACATTTTTAAATGATAAATAATAATCCTCAAAAACACTTCATCCTAATGCTTATATCTATTACCACAATAAAACAAGGAATCAAGTTCAGTCAGGATCTACTTAACTATAAATGCCATATTAAAATATAACTGTTACTTTCTATACTGTCTAGTTCATCCAAGCTTGAGTTGACCCATTTGTTCAATAGTGTTGTATAATACTCCCTCTGGAATGGATATTATGTAAAAATATTTAGTTATATAGAAAAATAATTGACATGGAAATGTTAATGCAATTAACTAGAAATACTGATCAATAATAATTATAAAAACTGTTTGACTTTGACGTGATCTGTGCGACTTTGACGTGATCCGTGCAGAAAAGACACCTAGGCTACTTTACTTTTTCTGAAAAAAGAAAAAAAACTTTGTTGTTGATATAAAAATCTTTACAAATATACAACTTTAAAATATTCAAAAATCATTTTCTTTCTTTTTAAAAATTACTACCTTGACTTCATCATCAATGTGTGGCTCCTTTACTTTTTCATATAATTCTTTCAGTTTACTTTCCGTTGCTTTTTGTTTTTTAAATCTTTCAATTTTACTCTGTCGTGACCTTGCCATGCCAATCAGGTCTGGTGGAATACTGAATGTAAAAAACATGAAAATTGCACAACTAGTACATGTAACTATTGTTTTTATTTTTTATTTTGTTTTGTTTTTTTTTTTTTTTCAGAATGTTTTATTTGACTTATAAAATAAATAAATGTTTCTTATATAAATGAAGCACATTCAGAAGCCAAAATATTCTAAATACTGCAGGGAACTGCCACTCTATCTGTAGTTAAATATTATTATTATTGTACACATTATTTCAGTCACTGACCAATATGCTTATGGAAACATGAGGCCACTCTTGTTGTATAATTAGTTTTAACATTGAATATTTCACCATGAAATCCTTACCCTCTAGCTCCTGGGGGATGTTGAGGCCTTGTGTTTTCTTGGTTTTCTTCTCTGTCTTTGTCCGAGACATCTACATCTGTCACCCCATATAACTTGCACAGTCTCATAAAGTCTTTATAATATGTCTGAAGTTGAATTAAAAGGTAAATATCAAGTACAAGTTTATGCCAAATCATAACATTCACAGATTTTAATAATATACAGCCAACTAGAAGCAATCAGCATATTATAATAACAGGTTCATAAAAATATAAAAGGCTTCTTAATCTTATGGGGTGAGGGAGGGGGAGATCACTCCAGAATTAAGGGTGGACTTCAAACATTCTTGTAAATTTTCAGAAGAAACATAGTTAGGTATTTTTGCAGCAATTCCCCCCACCCTGTAACTCTAAAATATTATGTTAAACAAAATTAAGTCGTGTGGTGACTTTAACCAATGTCTTTGCTACTCAAATAAATAAGTATGAAAATTTACTAACTAGTTTTTTAATCTTTATTTTTAAATGTTCAAACTTTTTGACCAATGCAAACGTTCACCCCAGCAATGACCTTGGCTCTCATGATATTTGGATGGCATAAAGTTTCATGCAAAACATTGCTAACAAAGTCAAATACTGCCAATCTAATTTATTTGAATAGAAGAGGTATTGCTCAAAGAAAAAATACAAATTCACTTAAAAATGATATTGAAAATGGAAGAGTCATGGGGGGGGGGGGGGGGGGT